GGAAGTTTATAGCTCTAAGTGCCTACATCAAAAAATCAGAAAGAACACAAATAAATGACTTAACATTGCAACTCAAGACACTTGAAAAGCAACAACAAATGAAACCCAAACCCAGCAGACAAGAAGAAATAACAAAAATCAGGGCAGAAATTAATGAAATCGAAACAAAGAAAACAATAAAATAAAAAAAATTAATGACTTCTTATATTCAAGATGGGATATAACACAGCTTCCCTGGGTAACACAGAAAAGTAGATTAAAGGTGGGTCTCAACGTCTTCTGAATTCCAATAAAAAGGGCTACAGGGAAACCCTGACTCAAAAAGACCAAAAAAAAAAAATTTATTCTTTTTATTTTATGTGTATGAGTGTTTACATGTGTGCAACGCACATAGAGGCCAGAAGAGGCCATTGAATATTCTGGGACAGATGGCTGTTAGTCATCATGTGGGTGCTGGGAACCAAACCTGGGTCTTCTACAAGAGCTGTTTATTTTTATAGCCCTGGCTAGCCTGGAACTTGTTTATGTAGACCAGGATAGCCTCAAACTCACAGAGATCCACCTGCCTCTGCCTCCCCAGTGCTGGGATTAAAGGCATGCACTACTATGCCTGGTTAGAATTTTTCTACCTTTATTCCTTGCTGTGAGTAGCCTTTTATAATTAAATGCCTTATCGTTGTCATTGTGATTTTAAGCTTTTTGGAAATAGAGATGGTAACTGGCCCTCTTTCTAACTTGCAATAATTGTTCAAAAACACACCCATTGATTGTTTGGCTACTTGAGAAGATTCTGTCAGCCAAGAGAGAAGGCAAAATATGCTGTTTTTTTTTTCCAGCTCATTGACTGGAACGATATTTTATATTTCACAAGGTCAGTCCAAGAGGTTGCACAAGCCAAGGTGCATATCTGTGCCATGCCTGGGCTGCTGTTGGCACTCAACTTCTCACCACTCACCTCACTCTGGAGCTTGTATGCATGAAGAGCCCGGTCCAGGTCCACGGTTTTTGTAGTTGGAGCCACTTTGCCTCTGATGCTGTGCACATAGTCGTAGTGGTAGACAGCCTAGGTATAGAGAGAGGCGGGACAAGTAGATTCAGACTGTGGTAGCATTGTTAGAATGAACCTAGGCAAATGAAAATCCACATCTATCTTAAAATGCAGTAAGCAGGCAGTCTGCTTGCTTTGCCAGTGCTATGAAATGTCCCCCACAGACTCATGTGTTAGACACTTGGACCATAGCTGGTGGCAGTTTTGGAAGCTGGAGGAAGTTGGTCATTGTGGGCAGATCATTTGCAGTATCATGTCCAGGAACCATCTCCCTCTCTCTCCTCTACTCTCTCTCTTCTTCCTGCCCGCCATCAGGTAGAGAGCTCTCCTTCATCACATGTTCCAACCACCATGGTATCTGTCTAAGCACATGGAGCCAAGTAACAATGGTTTGAACTCTCTAAAACCATGAGACAAATTAAATAGTTCCTCCCCTAAGTTACTTTCTGTGCGGTATTTGTCACAGTGAGAGAAAAATAACAAATACACCTAGAGACCTTTGTTGTGACTATGTCTTGTTCAGCAGAATCAGAGCCAGTCTGCAGATCCCTCTGAAAAGTGGAAGGCACAGCTCAGGTGTAAGGGGAGGAAGCGCGAGCCTCTCACCTCCAGAAATTCCAAAATAACGGGTATTAGCTGTCTACTTCACTGGTGGGATCTACTATTCACTTACTAACCTGTAACTTTAATTGAAAAAGAGCAGTTTTGTGGCTCTTTGCCCACTCGGAGTCAGGCATTACAGGGACTCCATACATATACTTTCCCATTTTGCATATAGGATGCTGAGGCTCAAAGCAATTAGTTGTCCCTAACTATTAGGTTAGAGAGTGAGACGTAAATGTTCATGACACAAGGTGTAGTACAAAAACTAACTTTGGATGTTCAAAAACACAAAGCATTTCACAGACTCAGCTCATTTACAACCTCACCTCTGCAAACTACTGACACTTTCAGTGTTAGGTAAAAGGGCAGCTTCTTAAGCACTGTCTAAGGTGCCAAGTCTACTCCCCAGTTAAGAAAGGCTGGCACTGCCCACTCTTTGGCTGAGTAGTGCCCCATCTTCCCTGTTATCTAGTCACTTCCCCATGGTGGTGGTGGGGCTTACATCACTGAGCTGCTTCCCACTTTTGACAGCCTGAACATAGACTGGTGTGTCTGTCACCAACTTGTAGTCATTCCTCGTCTTCTGTACATGAGCTTTGTACTTGATCTGCCAAAGAAAAGCAAGCACACTTATGTTGGAACATTTGCATTAGAAACTGGAAAATTTCACAGAGGACTTAAGAGTAACATCCATCCGTACTTGTGGAACAGAAAAGGATGGATTTGAATTTTATAGCAATCAGCATAACCAATGCATACAGTCACAGGAAGCTTCTACAATCATCCAAGGCCTTCTGGGAAAGCTCTCTTGCTGAAATCCTCATTGTCATTTTCATTTGTCTGACGAAGTTCCCTGATCTTTACAAAAAAATCTTGTCTGTTGTCCTAGCAGATGAATTTTTCACAAAATGAAAATAATATGATCATTAATATATTCAAATTAGTCCAAAAGATAGAAGATCCAGGAGTCACTTCTTCAATGGAGAAGCCTGGCACAGCTGCACTGCATTGTTTAAGAGAAATGCTAAACACATTGCTGAGAAAGTTTGCTGTTCTTAGCATCTTTCTCCAGCTCAGCCATCCTCAACAAGACTTCACTCACAGCTGGTCCATGACAATGTTCTTACTTTACATATGCTTTCATTGATCTAAACAATGTAGAAGTGTACATATAACAATAAACCAAACAAGGAAACTCACATCATTGCGAAGATCATAAGCATGTTTTGCATGGAGAATTTCAGGAGTGTCCCAGACGTAGCAACCAATGCCCTTCAGCCAGGTGAGGTCATCCTTATATACAATCTAGGGAGTTCCAACAGAGGTGGGGGGCGCATCAAAAAAACTGACTACAACTTGAACACTAAAAACCAGGTATACCCCAGACCCAGCTGGGGAATAAAAAGCAAAAGGCATCAGGCAGTGGGGTTGAGGGGCCATGGAGGCATCTGCTCAAAGAGCCCTGTTTCCAGGGATAGCTCCTAAAGCCTCTCAGACCCACAGATAACAGGAAAGCAAGAGGGGAAAAGGCCTCGGTAGATATACAGGTGAGCCTGCTTCTCTTCAGGGTGGGAGAATGGAGTTGGTGGGGTAAATGGGGGACCCTCTTAAGCAATGGGCTTACGTCACTGATCTGGTCTGTAACTTTCCTGACGTGACTGTTGACTTGCAAGTCAGGGTGGCAAATCCACTCATGGAGGTGCAGGCGGTAGTCGACCTCACTGACTTTCTTCTGAGAATCCTTGGCAGTCACCATCTCCACCATGTCAGGCACAATGTGGATTTTCATTTTGTTCTTTTCATACACAGATCTGTACAGGCGCTGTGAAGTTAAAATGACATCCCAGTTACACAGGAAAACTGTGTCAAGTCATGGGAATATATAACTTCCTCCTAGTTTATAGCAAGGAAGTGGGCCAGGGCAGGTGCTGGAATTTTCTGGCATTTGTATAGATAAATACCAGGATTTTAAGAAATGTGAATATGTATGTGTCTGTATGAATATCTGCATGTGTGGGTGTCCTCAGAGACCAGAAAAGGGTGTCAGATCCTCTGGAGCTGGAGTTATAGGTGGTTGTGAGTCACCTGACATGAGTGCTGGGAACTAAACTCAGGTCTTCTGCAAAAACAGCAAGTACTTCTAACCACTGAGCCATCTCTCCAGCCCTTAGGATAGCACTATGGTCTAAGAAAATATTTAGCTTCTTTATGTATGTTCAATCAGTGCCACATGCCTGGTATCATAGAAAATACTCCAACTGGTAATATGTGACTACTTTATTAGGCTTCTGTTTGCACTAAAGTCTTCAGAGTTACTTACATCAATGTTAAGCTTGCCCACTCGCAGGCACCGTGCTGTGTTTGGATCATCTTCAACACTTTTTGGTAAAGTATAAAGAGCTTTGAACTTTTCATATTCTTCTCGGTATTTGATCTATAGAGAAAAAGTAGAAAGACTAAAACATACAGAGAGTAAGGATTTATGTTGTTAAAAGAGCCTGAGAAAAAGGGAAGGACTGGGCCTCAAGATTCCCAGAGTGCCATTCCTCATCTGTACAAAGTCACTAGCGCCATCACCGGGCTGCATCTGAAAGTATTTTCACACTGAACAGTGCTATAAATTTTTAGTTATTATTTTGTAAGTGTCTGCACCAAATGCTGCTACTAAAAACAATTTATTTTCAGGGTTATGTAATTTTTATTTTTTAAATTGGTGAAAACATAATGCTAAAGATCAAACACAGGGCTCTGAACATGATAAGCGAATAGCCTATCACCAAATAACATCTCAAGTAAGATAAGTGATTGTTAAATAATCTCTTTTACAATGTAGCTTTACCTTTTTACTATCATGAGTAAAAGATTAAAACTGTACTTGGAATCTCTTTCTTTTTACTAAGTGAAAAGCTCTGTAATGAAAAGTTATAAAATCCTTCAATTTCGTTTTCCACAAGTACTTCAAAAAATGTAAAACAACCAACTTTTAGTACTAAATCTATGCTTCTATTAATCAATGCTGTATGATTATACAAGCTAGGACACAAGACAGAGACCAGAGCCAGCCTCTCAGTACAAAGCCATAGCCCACAACCTCTCTCAGAACCCAGAGACGCACCCTTAAAGGAAAAAGATAGATGGGAGCCTGTGTACTAGCAAAGCCTGTCATCAACTCAAGACCAAGCAGAATTCCCATCAGAATTTTCCAGAACAGAACACCCCAGCTTCTTGTATCTAATCTAGTCCTCAGCTACAAAGAACATAGCACTCATAAAACTATTTATTTATTTATTTAATTTACTTATTTTGGTCTTTTTGAGACAGGGTGTCTTTGTAGCACCACCTGTCCTGGAATTCACTATGTAGACCAGGCTGGCCTCGAACTCACAAAGATCTACCTACCTCTGCCTCCCAAGTGCTGGGATTAAAGGCATGTGCCACCATGCCTGGCCTAGAACTCTTTTATTTTCTTAAATTTAAAATCCTAAAGTTAGGATGCTTCTTTTAAAGTACTAATTTTTCTATGTCTCTCCCTGTTCCAAGAATAATTTGCCCAAAATCCGTCTCTACCACTGTTTTCACAACAGAAGAAAAAAAATCTTCACTGGGCTCTGTAAATCCTATTTACAAATCTCTTCCCAAGTGTGAAGTCTACTCTGACCTCATCTGTTTATTTGGAAATGGTGTAGTAACCAGCCATCACACTTCACTGGCTTAGTTTTATACCAATGCCCCCATAATTCTATTGAAATACCCTATTTTTTTGCTTTGTTTTGTTTACAGGCTGTTACTCTGTAGTCCACGCTGGACTAAAACTCATTATGTAGGTCAGGCTGGCCTTGAACTCATGGCAGTCCTCTTCCCTCAGTCTCTGAAGTATTGGGATTACAGTTGTGGACCACTGTGCCTGGTTGAAACTACCTATTTGGTATGGTGTTTTATGTCTTCTTTCTCTCTTCACTTCTGGCTAAAACAGACACTATCCATCTACGTTATCTGCAGACAGGTAGCCTAGAAGATCCCATCTGTGTCCTTGCTGGACTGTGTGACCCTTCAGAGACTGCAGGGCCCTGAGAGGAGGCAACAAGCACAGTCTCCAACAACCAGCTACTGGGAGTGCTTGCTGGTCACCCAGAGATGTTAGGATGCTTCTGGGCAGCATTTGATTAGCCTGAGGAATTCTTGGTGTGGGGAGCAGAGAGCAGAGGGTGAGGGAGGCTGTGAGGTTTGCGTTTGACTTACACGGCTGGCCAGATGCTTCTGGTTCTTGGCGTGTGTCAGAGACAAGGTGCTGGTCGGCAGGACATAGCTGGTGGCTTTCACCTTATCCCAGGCCTCCTTGTACAGGTTCTGGGGGGGGGGGGTTAAAATCTTGTGACTATGAGACATAGCATGCTGGTTTACTCTCAAGCAGTGTTTTCCTCTGTTTCTGTCCTCAGATGGTCCTTACCAACCTCCAGGACATCTCTTTGAATTGAAGTTTATTTAATTGTAAAATGAGAAATTTGTAGGTAAAGTAAGAATTAAAAGGTTCAGGGGAAAACTGGAAAAAACTTTAGGGAAGGGTGCCCCCTCTGTTTTTTCTTTTTGTTTCCGAAGAGGAGAGGGTGACTCATAAGTAAGAGGAAGGAACAACTCACACTGCTATACAGACTCTTCAGATTCTTGATTCTGTCGTGATCCACCGTTTCTACCACTGTGGTATACTTGTCCTTAATCCGATGATAATTTTCTTTGTATTTCACCTGCAGATGAGAAAGAACAACTTATTTACTTCTGCTGGTAGAAAATATCTAAAGACAAGAAATGTCTTGTCCCTACCAGAGAAGGTCAAGGTCATTGTACCTCACTGGCATTAATGCCACTCTGAAGAGCAGTCACATAAACTGGCGTATCTGTGACCATGTTGTAGTTCTGTAGATTTTCTTTACCTGCTGCTGTGTACTGTATCTGTAAAGAAAAACAAAAGTCACCAAAAATGGTAAAATACAGGACCGTCATCGGTGGTAGCTGTTTGTGCCAACTTAGCCATTCCTTTACTTATTTCTGTGTTTTTGCTTTAATTCCAGCAGGCTGTTGGCCCTCTGTAGACCTGCAGACTGTGTGGCAGTCAAACAAGCAGCTTTCCTTGGCCAACAGAAAGGTCTGTATCCTTCATTTTGTTCCCTGCTCCATGCTATCCTCCACCTCACAGTGCCAGCAGTTCATCAGACCTGCCCAATCACAGCTTAAACCACATGCTGGGAAATGCCCCAGATACTGATTTTTCCCTTCAAAACATATGTACTTGTTGTCAGAGTACACTTTACATCCTACACTCTGCAAATTAACTTGGTTAAGGTGGAGACGCTTATGAATAACTCATCATGTGACAACCCCCACCTCTGTAACTTCCTGTTGTTATAAATGTGCATGGCCTTCAGGCATAAGATAGAATCATTCCAGAGAAGGCCACCAGGAGAGGTTTGATTGTGGCCAACTTGGTTCCCTTAGATCATGTGTCCTTATAGCAGTCTCTCAAGCAGAATGCAGAGATAGTTTGGCTAGCAGCCGACTGATACCACCATGGGTTCTGATGACTCCTGAAGAATTGGTTCTTCTAGGGAGACTGGCTCACCTGACTTTGGAGGTCATATGATCTCTTGGCATGGAGGATCTGGGGTGTATCCCAAACATAGCAGCCAATGCCTTTCAGCCAATTCAAGTCATCTTTATATACATTCTGCAAGAAAGAAGAACTATGAAAGGTGGCAGATATTTAGAATTCACAACTGAGCATTCTGAGATTTCTTACTGTTCCTCAGCCTTCAACCAGCTGAAAGGTATTTACTTCCTGGTCAAAAGAAGCCTAAGAAGGGAGCAATGCCTAAGTCTTAGTCTAGTGCTAAACAGATTAAACATTCAACATAGGTGTCCTATGGCTCAAAGGGGATCCTTACATCGAAAAGTGGTTTTTCATGTCACTTAGTGTTGAAAGTTGCTACGCTTATGAACACAAGGACAGGTGCACCATTGCTAAGCAGGACTGGGTGGAGTCTATAACTAAGTCAAATTTCAGAAAGGGCATCATACATCACTTAAGATCTCCTGGGCATTTCGGGCACGGATAACACTGGGCTCTTCTGGAAGTGATGTCCACTGGTGGAAGTAGTGTCGGTATTCCAGGTCGCTGAGGATGTACTGGCATCTTTTAGCCAACACGTGGTTCATCATATCATTGGGGATATGCACATTTGCTTTTGTGTCCTCATAATCTCTTCTGTAGTTCAACTAAAGAATAATGTTTTTAAAGACAAAACTCAGAAAGGTTTAAAACTAAAGTTATTGAAATTCACTCTCTTTAGTCTTATTTCCAACATAGAGCAGTACCTATAGAAAAACATTTAAAATGGTATTTTAGTATTCTTCCTATCCTATCATGCAAAGTCAACAGTAAGATGGCTATCTTCTCCTTTTTCCAATCCAGAACCCTCATATGTTTGTAAAAGAAATGGAAAAAGGAGGGAAGATGCCCCCAGACATCAAGGGGACACGGGTGAGGGTAGGGAAATCTCAAGGATGAACCATTCCACCGCCCTCTGTCCCCCAGCTAATCTTGAATCATAGGGCAGGCTATACACGGGCAGGCACAAGGACATGCCAAAGCTGTACCCATCTGCACTGAAGCAAGCCTTGGCTTACCGCACTCCTCATCTGCTGGAAATCCAGACAGTGGACCACACCAGGGAACTCACTGATTTCTTTGCCAGCCAGGTAGTGACCCTTCTGTTTTTCATATGTTTCTTTGTATTTCAGCTGTGAAATGAGTTCAACATAGAGAATCAGTGGAGTCTTCTGCCAGCCTCTTGCTCCCCAGTAAAGAGTCCAAGCTTAGGAGAGGTAAAGGTCACACGAACCTCACTGTTTACCAGGTCTGCATGCTTGGCTCCAACTATGGGAATATAACGCTCATCCAAGGTGTAGCCATAGGCCTTGGTTCCCTCCCATGCTCCCTTGTACAGTATCTACAACAAAGAAACATGCATTAATAAAAGTTTGCATTCAGCTACTTTCAGATACCACTAAAACAATTGCTAAAATAAAGGCAGAACATTCATGCTCAAGGCAAGGCTTAAATCTTTATTGTAGTCATTACACTAACCTAGAAGTGGCTGGTCATTTGATTAAATCTACAAACTCCAAGGTATTTTATAATAGAGTTAACTACCTTACTTGTAAAAGTGATGAGAAAACTGCACACAAGGAAAGACTCACCAAAGACTGCTTCCCAATGCACCCCCACCACCGAAAAACACACCCCCTCACTTAAATCAGCTGAGTTAAATTTCAGAGTACAGTCTTCTGCATGTTGGCTTGAGCTGTGTATGCATGGTTGCTGAAGAAGGATGTGCTTTCCTCCTTTTTCTCTTTTGGCACTTACTCTGTCCTTTGTTCTGCGTTCCTAGAGCCATGATGGCACTTGCTACACTATTATTGGTCTAGTCACCTATGTCTGTTCTCACATGTATAAACTACTGAAGGATTTGTCTCTGAGCATCAGCTTTTGCCACTTCCTATAGTGCCTGGCCTGCCATAGGACCTCAAGAATCACTAGCTTATCCAGGGTGTAGCCCTGGGTCTTGGTTCCCTCCCATGCTCCCAGGTATGGTACTACAATGAATAATTCCTAGAAGTGATGTCCACTGGTGAAAGTAGTGTCATTATTCCAGAGATGAATAATATGCCATTGCTAAGTAACAAATAAATGCAGTGGAAACAATTGGTCATTCTGTAAGCTCAGCTGTTCCCAGAATCAGTCAAGAATATGAATACTGACAAGAGCTTAATTAGAAATGAGTTTGTGCTGGACAGCTTTAGTGTCAACTTGACACACCTGGGTTGAGGGAGCCTCAATTTGGGAATTGCCTCTATTGGACTGGCCTGTGGTCATGTCTGAGGGGCATCTTCTTGATGAGTAATGTGGGAGGGCCCAGCCTACTGTGGGTGGTGCCACCCCTGGGACGGTGGGCCTGGGTTGCATAAGAAAGCAGTCTGAGCAGGGGCCAGGGGAGCAAGCCAGTAAGCAGTGTTCCTCCATGGCCTGTGCTCCAGCTCCTGCATCCAGGTTCCTGCCCTGAGTTCCTACTTTGGGCTCCCTGATGAACTGTGACCTGGGAGATGTAAGCTGAATAAACCCTTTCCTCCCCAAGTTGGTATTGGTCAGAGTATTTTGTCACAGAAATGAAGAAACAAACTAGGACAGAGTTATTCTGTAAAATAGGACTCACGGTACTGTAGAGTTTTCCCATGTCTTTAGAGTGGGAGATATACGGTGTATCTGGAGAAAATATATACTTGCCCTTGGCTTTATTAAATGTCTCTTTATATTTCACCTAAGGAGAGAAAACAAAACCTTTTGATTACTATAAATATATATCTAAATTTTGTAAGCTATACCTAGAAACATAATAGTCTACATTTATAGATTAAAACTAATCAATTGGTTGACTTTCAGTCCATTTTAGCCAATAGAATCTTTGGGAGAATATAGGTATCTAAAAGTAGGTACAGTATACTATCTTCATAGATTGTCTTACAATTCATCCCTTTCCCAATTTCTAATAAGCAATTATCTAGAATTACAGTAATCCATTCACTTACCTCTTCAGACTAAGCATTTCATCACACACAAAGCAAACTTACATCACTTTGATTAACTGAGTTAATCTTGGCCAAGACAATCTCTGGGGGATCTACCACACTTGTAAAGTTGGGGTAGTTGTCAAGAGCGTCTTTCTTGTATTTTATCTGCAAATGAACAGAGACATTTAAGATAGTCCTTTTCCCACAGGGCATCTACTTCACATAGCAGGTAAGGTTAGTGAGGGTTAGGTTAAAATCAAACAGGTGCTGCATACCTGATTCACCATTTCCTGGTTCCTGGTAACCCTCACGTGGTCCACTGAGTCCAGGGGGATCCAGCCAATGCCTCGAAGCCATTCCAGGTCAGCTTTGTAGATATTCTGAGGAGCAAGGAGAGATGTGAAGGAGCTATAACAGGCACAGGGTAACCACAGAGCATTCCAAACAATTCTTTCAGAAGCTTTAGAAGGATTTCTCTGCAGCAGCTGCTGTCCCATTCATTCAGTCATGACTTGGCCTCAGCAATACTTCTTGAGCCTGAGAGTGTGCACAAGGCCCTGAACTCAGTGAGCTAAGGGATCAGTATGAGGTGAAGTGCTGCGAGAGCCAGACCACTCAAGTGCTATTGGCATTAAGGGGAAGCGACCGTAAGAAAAGATTTACCAAGAAGGCTGCAGTTTTAGATCGACTTTGCTACATTTAGTTATCTCAGCTAAATCAAGGAAAGTGCACGCATAAATGCTCATGAAGATTTAGGGAACAGGGAGACATCCCCTTCACTCTGGCCAAGCCTATCTCTGTCTCCATCACCACCTTCTCTCCAACTCCAGCTCTTGGATTCCCCAACCCTCTCCAGGTCAAATGAAAATGAGCTGCTGATTGGATTAAAGTGGGGCAACAACCATTTTGCTGCAGCAACCAAGGAGGCAGTCGCTGGCTTCCTGTCTCGACAATGATGAGAAGACCCAAGCTGGGCTAATCCTCACACCTGAGCAAGGACTCTGATGCATGCTCTGGTCCTCCTTACAGAAGCTGGAGTGGGAAGAGTGTTCACTTCAGGCTTCAGGGCCAGATGGCCTGTGTGTCATGTTCTGTGTTGGCTTTTCCTAAACTCTGCATGAGGGATGATGGGACTTCATGCACTTCATCTCTTTTCTTGACTCTTGTAAGTTACTCTTTAAATGTCTTGAGGAGTAAGATGCTTAGTGAAGCAGGAAAGGGGCTTTCCTTGGTCCTTGTCTAAATTATCATCCATTATTGCCGAAACCTTGACTTGGCCTCCAGCCCTCATTCCTTTCTGGGAATAAACTAAATGCTATAGTCCAAAGTGTCAAAGATAGGTGGTTGGAATACTACTTATCATTCTTAAGAGTGTATTGCACATTCTAGATAATAAGAAATGAAAATTACTTACATTGCTCTGAAGGTCATAGGCCTTCCTTGCCTGAATAACATCATTTTGGTCAGGATGACATGTCCATTGGTGCAGGTAATGGCGGTAATCAATATCACTGACAAGGTTCTGCCCCTCCTTGGCAGCCACAACTGACACCATGTCAGCAGGTATATTGATTTTGGCCTTTGATTTGTGATAGTTTTCCTTGTAGAGTCTGTCATTCTGAATCTGTCCTGCATGCTCAAACCAAACCAGCTTAGGATCGTCTCTCATGGTGGGAACACCAACATAGTGACCTTTCTGCTTAACATGTTCAGCTTTGTATTTCAGCTAGGGAGAGGGAGTAGAAGACAGAGACCATCAACTATGATAAGTACACATACAAAGTACACACACAAAGGGGGGTTGGTGCACACTAAGGGATGCCAGCAAATTCAGCTTCTAACTTTCTGTTGGACACCGCTACCCTGAGAAGAGATAACAAAAAACACTGAAATAAATCAGTATGATAGAATAGCTATTTTAGATTTGTTATTGTTATTGTTTGATATAGTGTCTCAAATAGCCCAGGTTGGCCTCAGACTCCATACATAGTGGAGGTTAACCTTGAATTCCTGATCCTCCAGCCTTCTCCTCCCAAGTGCTGATTTTATGTGCCATAACACTTGACTGAAATAGTTATTTTAAAATAGGAAAAAAACCATATGCTGTTCTTTAAGTTTTGGAATTATCTTTATTTGAAGGCCTTCATATTTTAGAGAGGGCAGAAGATAAAAGAGAAATAAAAAGCCCAACATCCATGTGAAAAGACCCAAAAGGGAGGATTACTTCAGCCTTCAGCAAGCTCAGTCAGGTCTACCAAGCTGAGATGGGGACTCCTTAAGGTGACATCTATGTCTTGTGTATAACTGGCATCCCTTTTCAGGCAAGGTCTGTCTTCTGCAAGGTACATTCATACTGGGATAAATTACCTCACTCTGAACATCACTGGAGTGATGGGCATGAACAAATGGCACAGCATCTGGTGGCAAAATGTAACCTGTGGCTTTTTGTTTCTCCCAGCCTTCCTTGTAGAGGTACTAAAAGACAGAGAGCCACAACAGGGGTCAAACGAGGAGTCAGAAGGGAAGACTACATCATGTGCACAAATCCCATTAGGGTTTTTCCATTTCAAGCAGTAGGCATCTTAGAAAAAATCCATACCTGGTCCAGGATCCGGGCTGCCTCTTGGGCAGTATGCAGCAGTGGGGTTTCTGTGAGGGTATACTTCGATTTGATGGCATTCCAGTCTTTCCGGTATTTAATCTAAAAGTGAAAGGCATTGTGGAAAATTACTTGATATCAAGAAACATTATGTTTTCAAGTAGTGCTGGCATCACTAATTTTTCCAGTTAGAGGGCTTGGGGGATAGCACAGCCGTTAAAGGCTAAGGCTAACAACCAAAACATAAAATATTAGCTTAGTGATTGCAAAAGGGCAGGAATGCTTTGAGCATGACACTGCTTGGTTACATGATTTCAGGACAACTGTCAACTTACATCATCGCGGATCTCACCACTTTGTTTTGCTGTCACATAATCAACTCTGTCATCCACAGGAGTAAAATTGAGAGTTTCTATTTTTGTGCGATATTTTTTCTATGAAAAAAAAAAAAGAAATCTGTTAGGCATAGTCTCTGGTCATGGTAAGCTGAGATATACCAAATTCAAGGTGTATCTTTGCTAGAGGTATAAAGTACCATATATGAATGATGTCTTCTTGGCAATTTGTCTTCTTAGCATTTTGTTTTTCAGACAACTGGGCTGACTTCTTATATCTCTGACAGATAGTTTTCAATACTGGGGTTTGAACCCAGGGCCTCATGCATGCTAGCTAGACAAGTGTCTTACCACTAAACATTTTCCTAATCTCCCCATAGATTGATGGTAGCTAGTTTGTTTATCTCCCAAAGTCTTATCATTATGGGTATCATAATATTCCATTTTCCAACTGGACGAACTTCTTCCAGCATACTGCTATTGGTGACAAAAGAATTTCTCCATTTGTACAGTTCCTGACATCAGCCAGTATGCTGGATGTTGTTAGGGATGTGGTCCCATATGATAGGAAAGGTGCATTTGGACAGCTATATGTCTGGCTTAAATTTCAGCAACAGAAAATTGTGTAAATTGTTGACCTAAGATGGACTGTATTTTGGGTCACATATTTTGTATATTGCTTAGGGGAGTGCTCAGAATGACTGGGAAAAGTCTTGGAATACCTCACTGAAGATATCTGCAGCATGTTTGGCATGATTGACAGAAACAGAATCATTTGGCATCCACCCAATTCCACGTAACCATTCCAAGTCAGCCTTGTAAACAGCCTGTGAAAATAAGACCAGAATTAATTTAGTAGCTCTAGTCCCCTGATCTTACTTAGCATATTTATTCCATTGGTCTGATAAAGAAACACAATTTAAATTCTAAAAAAGCCAAGAAAGCTATACTCAAGCATCCAGGCAGGTAACATAAGAAAATCAAATCAGGCTGAGTAGTAACACATAGAAGATACTCTTTCTGTTTAACCTGAGTTAATCTCAGTTCAGTCCTAGTTGCCAACAACCAGTGTATGTCTAGAGCTTCGTGTTCTGAATCTTTGAGAGAACTAGGAAATCTTGAAAGAAAAATTTACTGATTGGAAAATCTTGGCAGCATAGTTTAAAATTTCTCAACAACTGTGTCAACTGAAAAAAAATCATATCTGTGCCTAGATCCTGCTTATAGTATACCATTGTTTACCATCAACACAAACCTGGATTCATACTTAAATTCTATAGACAATATTTTTTCACAATAGTATCTTCTTTCTCTCCTCCCCTCCCTCCCTTCCTTCATCCTCTCTCTTCCTTTTTGAGACAAGATCTAACTGTGTAGCCCTTGCTGGCCTGGAAAATCTCTATATAGCCCAGAATGGCCTGGAACTTGCAGCTGTTCTCTTGCCTCTGCCTCTTGAGAGCTGGAATTACAGATGTGTACTACCACACACACGATTTCCCACTCTGCTGTCAAGATTTATCTTCTTTCACACTACATTTATTTCGTGAAGTCTAGATCTTTCCTGGCATGGGTGATTCTGATACCATATTATGAGGCCTAATCTCGAAATCGTGGTTGTGTAAAGACGTGTACTTGTGATAAAGGTATGTAATGCCACAAACTTTCTGGAAGTCAGTCACAGCAAAATGACCCAGTGCAACGCACTCACATCGCTCTGTAGTTCGTAGGCTTTCTTGGCTTGAATCACATCGTTCTGATCAGGCATGCATGTCCACTCATGTAGGTAATTTCGATAATCAATGTCGCTGACCAGAGTCTGGCACTTTTTAGAATGCAGGATAGACAGCATGTCCACAGGGCTTTGGAACTTGGTCTTCCATTTGGCCCACTGCAGCCGGTACTCTCTTTCATTCTGAAGCTTGCCAGCTATGAGGGCCCACCGGATCTTGTTATCATCCCTGGCTGTGAGGGTGCCCACGTAGTGTCCCTTCTGCTTCTCATGGTCAAGCTTGTATTTATACTGCAGATGAAAAGACAAAGCAGATGGGTCACAGCGTGCTTTTTGATGCACATTTGCTTAAAAACTAAGGAGGTGTAAAAGGGCCCACCCACCTCACTGGCAATCTCCCTGGAGGCCTTGGCAGCCTGGATGGGGATGGCGTCCAGCCGGACATCACAGCTCATTTTGATTTCATCCCATCCTTCACGGTAGAGTTTCTGAAGAGGAGAAAAAGCAAAACAGATTTAAAAAAAAAAAATCACCTCATTCACCACTCCACTGGGACATGAAACAGTGTCTGTATCAAAGACCTGGGAGTTTCTTCCTTAGTCATTTGAACACAGCCTCCACGTGGTTGTTCAAGGTCTATACTATGCACAATGTGAAGGGTTCAGTTTTTTCTTTTCTTGTGTGGATATATTTTTTTCATTTTGTTTTGTTTTTTGAAACAGGGTCTCCTATAGCCCCAGATGGTCTAGAATTCACTATGTAGACCAGGCAGGCCTCCATCCCACAGAGATTTGCCTACTTCTGCCTCACAAGTACTGGGATTATGGGATTAAAGGCATGTACCTCTGCGCCCAGCTTGCTTGGATATATTAATAGCACTGGGATAAATTCACATGTGAATGAGCTACTATCATATCTCTTAAGTTCAATTTTGTGTTATTTACAATTAGAAGCTTTCTACATTTGTGAGGATTTTCTTTCCAGTATATTGCTCTTCTCATATGACTGATAGCACATATATTGTTTAAGAATATGTGCCTTCTGCCAAAGGACGATTGGATGTAACAGCTATCTTTTTGTTGTCAAATAGAAGTTAAATAAAGTACCTTATCTACATACATTTTAATATATACATTTTGTATTGACCATGGTAGAAAAATACAGAAGCAATGATAATTTAAATGTATAATTAAAAAAATCATACCAATCACCATAAAGGCTTCCACAGAGCAGAAAGGGGTAAATTTCAACTACTGAGAGTTTCATAATTTTGGCCTATCTGAAAAGTGGGTTCTCAGATGAATTTTACATTTGTAAGCATGGTTAGGTGTTGTATGGATTTCCATTTAATTATGCTGTGTGTGTGTGTGTGTGTGTGTGTGTGTGTGTGTGTGTGTGTGTGTGCGCGCGAATTTTGGGTAAGTATATTTTTCTTTAACTTTGGGTGGGCCTCATTTAACAATTGACTTGTTATCTGTAAGAGGAAAAAGTGTCTTCCATATTCAAATATATGACTCTAGAGAATATGTAAGGGAAACACATCATTATACTGTTTAATCTTAATCTTATTTTCATTTTTTATATTTTCTTATATATTATCATACTACTTTTTCTTAATTCAAGAAATGTATATTTTTTCCACTGAACTGAAAGAAAAATCCATGTATGAGATCTAATTTCTTCACTTATTAATTTTGAGAACATGGCCAAATTTCTGAACTTTTCAGTCTCAACTTCCCTGTCTAATTAAAGACAAAAAACACAATATTTTACTCATATAGTTTGTTTGAGTCCCTTTAATGTGAACTTGCTTTGCTCTCCATAAAATAACATACAAGTACTCTTCAAAGCTGTGCTTTCCAAGTATTGGAAGCAGTTGTAAATAGCAGCTTTATGAAGATAAATAATAATAATAATACCATGTATAAAGGAAAGGTACATTGTGGTTTGCATTCCAAGAGGATGTTTGATTTTGTCTAAAATGCGAATCATTCTCTTTAGTCCTTCACTTTCAGCATGAATTTGGTTATGAGCCTGAGTCTTTAACAGCTATACCAGCTCTCCAGCCTTCTTTAAAAAACATTTTATTTAATATTTTAATTTTATGTGTATAAGTGTTTTGCCTGTGAGTATGTATGTTGTACAATTCCCAATGAGGCCAGAAGAAGGTATTGGATCCCCTGGAACTGGAGTACCAGATGGTTGTGAGCTGCCATGTAGTTGCTAGGAACCAAACCCAGGTCCTCTGGAAGAACAAGAAATGCTCTTAACCACTGAGCCATCGCTCCAGTCCCACTTTCAGCATAATTTTGAATACTGTGCTAATTTTGCTACCATGATATCACCAATAGGGTTCTAGTAGTTTCAGATTAAAATTTTATATAAACGTGAGCACATGAGATTTTCCAGAATGTTTGTGCCAAAAATGTCTATGAACTGAATGGAAAAGGACTCTTGGCTGTAATGAAGAACTGTTTATGGATTCAGCCACTTCCCCAAAGCATCCTCTACAGGACACTGATGCTGAACCTCTCACCCCTGAAGCATGCTTAAGTGTCCTAGAGTTTTACTGCCCTCATGAATACAGACTATTCACCCCCATGTAGCTCAGTGCAGTAGAATTGACAGAGAAGATTAACACATGGTGAAAATGTTTTGCTTGGTTGGCTCTCTCCCTCATACAGATTTATTATTTTTCTGAAAATAAATGCAAGGTTCCAAACTGGAAAGATTGCACCATGGCACTGATCTTCACAGACCATACTTATTCCATCCATGGGCAACCTCTGTGGCCCACAAAGATGGCGCCTGTCAGAAAATTTCTTGAAATATGCAGACAGCCATGTAACAGAATTTTGCCAACTAACTAGTAGGATTTTCACCTGTTGCCTCTCTTACATTTTCTGAGCTTGACATGACTTCTACAAGTAATACTTTTGCCTCTTTCCAATTTTTCTCTTATTTTCACTCATGTGTTATATCAACGAGTTCACTTGCTTAGTCAGTTAAATGCTAAATGTCAAATAGGGGCTGTTAGTGGACATTCCTGTTTCAATCCTGAGTTGAATAAGAGGCTTACTGAGGGAAACCATCCTTTGCTTTCTGATGGATTTTTTTAAGTCATGTCAAAAACATATTTATTTATTCTTCTTTCACTAAGATTTTATTTAAAATAAGAATGAGTTGAATTTGTCACATCTTTTAAAATATAATATAAGATACATACAATTTTCCTTCTATGTGTTACTATAACAATAGTTTCTGCCCTGGAGCCCCCTTGCCTCCGGCATTCCTGGGCCTCCCCCAGTTGCTTGCATGATATCATTTGGATGTGCAGCTGAATTTGATTTGTTAATGTTTTACTTAGATTTTCTCCATTATTATTGCTCCATAGTTTTCATTTGTGGAGTTATCTTTAACAATTTTGGAGAATGCACAAAGGGTGGAAGATCATCCCATACCTACTACCCCTCCAAGGCTCAGGGACTTTTCTAGAAGAGGTTGGCAGAAAGAAAGAGCAAACCAGAGGAAGAGTGGAGTGTTAACTGGAAGTGTCCTCTGACCACTATGCCAGCAAGCTACAGTCACACCTCCTTCCCAAGCTCATCAAGGAATCAATGGGGGAAATTAAAAAACAAACAAACAAACAAACAAAAAAACCCAATGGCATCCTTTCTTTTATTAGGGTCCTCAATAGTGTATTTCCTAAAATTTTGAAGGAATTCTCCCTATGAAATTATCAGGGGAAACTTGGCATTTCACAGGAGAAAGTGTTTAATAAATCTCTTAATTTGCTGCTATATGATTTTATGGAGTCAATTTTTTCAAATATTTATTTATTTTTATTTTATGCATATGACTGTTTTGCCTGCATGTATGTATGTGTACCACATGTGTGCCTAGGGTCCCTGAAGCCAGATGGTTGTGAGCTGCTATGTGGGTGCTTGGAACTGAACCCAGGTCTTCTGTAAGAGCAGCCAGTGCTCTTAATCTCTGAACTATCTCGCCAGCCCTATCTGGAGTAAAATTTGATAATTTATAATGTCCTAAGAAATTTCCCACAGACCTGAGTTTTTAATTAACTTGTATTTTTTTGGCAAAGAAGTGTGAATATTTTAAGCTTGTTTGCATCTGCCATTATGTCTCCTGTCCAGCTTGGGCAACTCTTCATTCTTCCTCCTCTCTGTCTTCCTCTCCCTTTTGTCCTTTGGCCACTGTCATTGGCTCACCAGTAACTGGCCTTGCCCCAGCCCAGGGCCCAGGAATCAGCTCTGCTCCTTGCTCTGGGCCAAAGGCTGTTGAATATGATCTGTGCTCCCTGCCTTCTCCCCTTGGCTATGAATACTCCCTGGTTATGTAAAAGTGCCAGCTGAGTTACTTCCCAAGCAAAACAGAGTCTCTTGTGGTACTTACATTGCTCACATTAAGAGCATTGGCTCTAGCGAGATTAATTTCAGGAGTGTCTGGCATTATGTGGATGGAAGTTTTATCTTTGTCCCAAACTTCTCTGTACTTCGGCTATGGAAAGAACCAGAAATAACAGAAATCACTTGACAATTTATAATTTTGCTAGTTTCAGTGCACAACTTGTAATTATTCTTTTGAATCTGATCCAAAATACTTTCATATTAAGGTAAAGGTTTTTAGAATTTTTACACATAAGTTACTCAAATTTTATAGGAAATTAATATTAACATTTAAGTTTTAAAAAGTGAAACAATGCTGTCAGTGCTGCTTATCTAACTTTTGTTATCATCAGTATTACTTTTCCTAAAAACATTACCAGGTTAATTATTTGACTTTTTTTTTTTTTTTTTTTTTTTTGGTCTTTTTGAGACAGGGTCTCCCTGTAGCTCCAGCTGGCCTGGAACTCCTTATGTAGACCAGGCTGGCCTTGAACTCAGAGATCCACCTGCCTCTGTCTCCAGAGTGCTGGGATTAAAGGTGTGCATCACCACACCCAGCAATTATTTGTCATTATTGTAGCTTGAATTAGGTTTTAAATAATAGAAACAACAGCGGCTTACAATACTGATATTTTCGGAGTTTGACTTGGCAAGGACAACTTCAGGGGTGTCCACGATGCTCGTGTACTTGAGCTTCACCACAGGTGTGCGGTAGATGCTGTCGCACAGGATCTCCTGGGCATTTTTGACTCTCAGCACCTCAGGAGACCCTTCTGGCATCCAGCCAATGCCACGCAGCCACTCCAAGTCAGCCTTGTAGATGGCCTGTGGAAGAAGACACACTCAGTGGAAGCAGAGTTTTTTTTTCCTTTTTGATGTTGATAGTAAAATAAAGTCACCATTCTCATTACGTTGTTTCTTATTTTTCACAAGAAATCATTTGAAACAGCACTGGCCTAATAATTCCTCCTACACACAGTAGTGTTTTGTCTTCTGTTTCCCGTGGCAGGGCATCTGTATTGGGTACCTATGCTCACAGTGTGGAAGCAGCTTTCCACTTGGGAGAACACATAGATGACTTCTGACTGATATCTAGGGCAATGAGAGTGGACTCTTAATATAATAATAATGGCTCTCCAGTGTGCTCTCTACATAGTCAGAATGACCTTTTTAAAATTCTCAGTGCAAATCTAGCACCACAGCATCCCCCTTCTATGGCTCCCACAAGTCTCAGGATAAAGACCAAACACCTCAACATGGACTCTGGTCTGGTTCTGGTCCCCACCTACTCTTCCCTCTGTTCTGGTCACACTGGCTGCTCCTGAGTGTCTCTGTGTCCTCATTTACCTTGGTAAGTCTGATAAATGAGATGCTCTTCCAATGAACGTTCCACTTCTCTTTGCACAGGGCTACAGCTCACTCTCAGCCATCCCATTTTTACTGACATTCTTTTCATTATCATCTACTTCTTTATCCATATGAACTCCCTCAAGCCAAGAGCTACGCCTTACTTTTCCTTCTTAATTTACCATTATATCTTTTGTGTTAATACAATACTTGGCATATGACGAACTTAAAAAGTATTTTTAGATGGATAATTAATAATTCAATAGCTAGCTCTATAATTTTGGCCTTAATTGAGATTTATTTATCTAAGATAGCCCCTTTCTTCTAATTTGGGTTTTACATATTCTTTTTTTTCAAGTGTGTATGGTATGAGCATATGCATGCTTGCATGTGTGTGGACACGTGTATGGGGATGAATGTGCACATGAGTGTATGAGCATGTGGAGGTCAAAGGCTGATGGTCAGGAATTATCCTCCATTGCCTTTCTACCTTATTCAGTGAGTGAGTCTGAGTCTCTTGGTCAAACCCAGAGCTAGTCGATACACCTAGTCCTGCTCGCTAGCTTACTGTGGGGATCCACTGTCTCTGCCTTCTGAGGCTAGAATTATAAGCAGGCTGTCACACCCACCTGGCATGTATGTGGGTTCTGGGGATCCACACACCAGTCCTATGCCTGCCCAGCAAGTAATTAACCTCTGAGCCATCTCCCCAGCCCTGATTTTGCATTTCCTGATTATTATTTCCCTATATATAAAAGTTAAGTAGCTGATAAACTGTTCTATGTTAAAATGCCACTGATTAACTTGATAAAAAGCCATTATTCAGAATATATGCATTTTGTGGGTTTTTTTAAATTTTTGTTTTTGTTTTGTTTGTTTTTGAGACAGGGTTTACCTGTAGCCATAGCTGACCTGGAACTCCCTATGTAGACCAGGCTGCCTCTGTCTCTTGAGTGCTGGGATTAAAAGCATGTTCCACCATACTTGGCCAGAAACAATATTTTAATAACTAGTTATAGAACACAAATGTCAAGCTAAAACTGAAGTAAGAGAGTGAAAAACACTGGAAAAATATTTAGAAGGATGGCACTATACCCTGAATTGTTTAAAGAGGGAGCACTAAAATTCAGAAGTTTCCTTCTCTTCTTTTAAGAATAAGATTAATATACATGCCTCAATATACTAATGCGGTTTATGCTGATGAAAAGACTACAGTCCCCTACAAACCTGTCTGCATCTTTCACTTGGCAATTTATTTTAATTCATTTATAGGCATACTCACTTAAAAATATTTTATTATTTTTATTTATGTATATGAGTGTATTGCATGCACGTAAGTGCACATGTGTCATGCAGTGCCTGCAGAGGTCAGAGAGGGTGTAAGATTCCCTTGGAAGTGGAGTTCAACTTAATAAACGATTGTTAGCCATGGTTGCTAGGAATTGGACCCAGGTCCTCTGCAAGAGCAGCCAGTGCTCGTAACTACTGGGCCACTTCTGCAGCCCAGCACACTTGCTTTTAACAAACTCATTATTTGCAAAGTATCTCTTGAAGACTAAGAAAAACAAGTTCAGATAATTAAAAGAAGGCATCCATTCCACCTAAGAAATAACCTTATGGAATCTAGCATTTAAAAAAATTTTTTTGGTGTCTTTGAGACAGGGTCTCCCTGTAGCCCTGGCTGGCCTAGAACTCTCTATGGAGATCAGACTGACCTTGAACTCACAGAGATTCACCTGCCTCTGCCTCCCAAGTGCTGGGATTAAAGGTGTATGTCTCCACACCCAGTATATTAAAAAAATAAATTGGCATAAAATATGTATCTATCTAAAAATGTCTTGTATAAGCTAAACTCCATGTGAAGAGCTTTCAGTTCAGTGAGACAAGTGAGCTCAAAGCATGTCGCTGACCTTTGAACTAAATCGCAAGGAGGACATCTCCATTCTTTGTCAATACAGAGTGGAAGGATCATTTAATAAACTTAAACATTATATACATCAATAAAGTTACAGAAAAATTCTGGCAACACCTTACCAGTGAAAATAAAAACCTCTGAACAAATCTAACAATAAGATGGGCAATCAGAAAATCTGAGAAATACTGAAGGGATGTGCTTACACGGGGAGAGTTAGGTTTTCAAGAACATTAAAAGGAGTCGGCACACCAAGCCATGAAAGACTTTCTTTCTTGGGGACACACTTACATCACTCTGCAGGTCATAGGCTTTCCTGGCTTGGATCACATCATTCTGGTCAGGGAAGCAGGACCACTGGTGCAGGTACTGGCGATAGTCCACGTCACTTGCTAATGCCTGGCCTTCTTTGGCAGCATTGATGGATACCATGTCCACTGGGATGGTGATCTTGGCCTTGTGGTCATTGTAGGCCTTTTTGTACAGCCTGTCATTTTGCATTTTCAACACATTCGCTGCCCAAACCAATTTCGGGTCTTCCTTGGCACTGGGGCATCCAATGTAATGGCCTTTCTGCTTCTCATAGGCAGTCTTGTACAAATACTGGGGAGTGTGAGCACAGAAGGAAGAGCTGTTTCCCCACATTCACTTTCTAAAGCCCCCATTCAAAACCATCCCACCTCCCTTAGGTTACTGACACAATTTTCTCTACGTTCGTGCTGAGTTTTACACTTTCTGTTGTATTGGTTTGTCTTCTATGTGTACATGGCTGGAAATACCGTGGGCATCTTCAAGGCAACACCTGTGTTTCTGGATCATTCCCCAAGTCCAACCTTGTTGACATTCCCCAGACTTCAGACATTGTTTGCTACCTTCAGGTGTTTTGCCACAAGCAAGCACAATCTGTATTCCATGTTGCTTTAAATCAAACGAATTGCTTAAATAGTTACTTTTAAATTACAAACTTATTTTAAAATGATTCTGACAGGTATAACCTCATATAAATGGAAGATGATCAATATCTCTATAATACATTAAAATAACTATGTAAATATGCACACCACATTTTGGGTACTAACTAAATTTTCTGTATCCATTATTCCAACAGATTTCTCTGTGTCTTGTAAATTAACTGATATTTAGAAGATTTTGGGAAAAAAGAAAAATGGTATGGATAAGCATAGGAATTGCATAATTAAATGTACATGCAGGAAGTTTCTCATGTTGTTTCACAAGCTGTTCCGCAATTTGGAATTTGGAAACAGTATACTAATAGCAATTACTGGCATTCTACTCAAATACAACGCCTGAGGAATTAGATTAAACTCCCTATGTGTCTAGTTAACGTTTGATGAATTTTGGCAAGAAAGTACTCTTACATCACTGGCAATATCCTGAGAAGCCTTGGCATGCTGGATCCCAATGGCATCTGCTCGTATGTCATAACCCGTCATCTTGACGTCTTCCCAAGCTTTCTGATAGTGTTTCTACAAAGGGAATTGCAATGCTACAGTCAGTCTGAAGAGGGCACTACTAAGTCAGCGTTAGTGATTAAGAATAGCTATTAACATTGTATGACATTTGGCAGTGACAATAAACTGCAACATTACTGACTTTAAAAACGGAGTATCTATGACAGTTCTGCTGAACACAAATCTCTCAAGATTTACAGGGTAGGTTCCTACTGAATTTGAGTTCCAGCACATTTAAAATGATTCTTAGTAAAGGAATTCCTAATAATTTTTTTTTTTGTCTCTTTTGAGACAAGGTCTCCCTGTAACCCCAGCTGTCCTGGAACTCACTATGTAGACCAGGCTGGCCTGAAACTCACGAAGATCCACCTGCCTCTGCCTCCCAAGTGCTGGGATTAAAGGCATGCGCCACCACGCCCGGCCCTAATAATTTTTTATGACAAAATTTAAGAGACAGCCAAATTAAAAAAAAAATCACAAAACTATATATTGATTTTTAAAGGAAAAAACAATGAATAAAAAGGTCCAATAAAAAGCTAAGCATTACGGTACATGCGTCTTTTAAAATTTTTTATTTATTTTTATGTGTGTGAGTGTATTGCCTGCACGTATGTAAGTGTACCCATGTCATGCAATGCCTGCAGAGATCAAAAGAGAGCATCAAATTCCCCTGGAACTTGAGTTACAGATAGTTGTTAGCTACCATGTGAGTGCTGGGAACTGAACCCGTCCTCTGTAAGAGCAGCCAGTGCTCTTAACCACTGAGCCATCTCTCCAGCTCTGGTATATACATCTTTAAGTTTTATGCTTTGCTTATTTTTGGGAAACCACTGTCTTTTCCCTCCCAACAAGGATACATCAGTACATTATTAAAAACAAAGATCTATGAACTATTTATCGGTGGCTTAAAGGCTAGGAAAAAAATGCAATGGATAATGCTTTTGCCCGACTTTCTTTGGCGTATACTGAGGAAAGGCTTGGTAGAGAGACTACCGACACAAATGGGTGTGCGAAGTCTTACGTTGCTAATCTGGATGGCATTGAGTTTGGACTGCAGCATCACTGGCGTGTCGGCTGGCACATTCACATTTGCCTTCTCTTTGTCCCAGGCATCGCGATACAATGGCTGTACACATGAAGTGCAACAGGATGGTGGATTAGTAAGTCAGTCAATTACCACATGAATAATGCTCAAAACTAAGAGTTATTGTTGGATGTTCTCCGATATAAATATATATATCATATTTTGTTTTTTTTTAATTTTAAAAGTACCAAATAACTTCAAAAATAACTCATACGATGCAATGTAAATTTAAAATGAGTCAGAAATATGGTAGCAAAATTCCTTGTCCACTTACCACATTTAACCATGTGGCCCTCAGGTCCACATGACAAGCAACTCTGATAAACCACAATGCTAATTAGGGCTTTCCTTTCCCAGCCCAAATAACTTCCATGATGTCTAATTCTCAGCTTGCATTATGACTGAATGGCCATAAATAGATGGCAGTTTTGTGGTCAGGGTATTAGGTTGCATGTCAGTCTGAATCTTTACATGTGATTAAAATGTGTGTCAGAGTCTGGACCCAATTGTTTTGACCAAAGTTGTATGAAAACTAATGAAATGGAGATAACTAATTGACTGACTATGAAGATCTATCTAGACTGAGGTGTACTCCAGATCTTACTGCCTGTGATACTGGAAATTTGAAGTTCACAATCAGAATTCTCCTAGGTTGAGATTCGTCTTGAAAACGTAACCATGCCAGCTTACCTCACTGATCTGCAGAGCATTGGTTTTCGCCAGGACCACTTCTGGTGTGTCCACAATACTGGTGAACTTGAGGGCCTCAGGCCTTATACGATACAACCTTTCATTCAAAAGATTCTGAGCATTCTTCACTCTCATCACTTCCACAGAACCCTCTGTCAACCATCCAATACCCTTCATCCATTCCAGGTCTGATTTGTACACATTCTACATTGAGGATGGGAACACAGTAAAGAAGAATCAAATTAGCCCACAGAGTGTGATACATGAAAACCACACACAGCCTCTACTTAAATTAGCTGAGCAGCAATCAAAGAGAAGATTTAATATGAATCTGTGGGTGTCATTCTCTGGTACCAGCTCTAGAAGCTCACGGTCTCCCATAGGAACTGGAGCACAGCTCACAAGTGGCATTTGGTGGATGACAGACGGTAATGGTACATACTTTTGCTTTTATATTAGGTTGGGTTTTTGTGCTCACTACTTGAAGTCTGTCTTTCATGTACCCCTGGGAATAACATCTATAGGAATTTTAGGGAAGAAGATCCTTAGATGTATGCATCTTATCTTCCTTAGATATGTATAGGATGTATACATATCTATATTTCTGCATGCGTCAAATAAATGAAGTAAGTACTTCTGTGTTTATATCTGTTTCTGATATTTAGACACCTGTTCATGCAAAGATAAAAGGTGAGAACACCAAGACTGAAATTTTCTACCTAACAACATGGAACAAGAAACCGATTTTCATCTTGGTGAACAGAATCCTGCTACCATAAACAAAAATCCTTCACAAGATACAAAATGTTGGAAAAAATTTTCTCCTATTACCCTAAATTTTACAGAATGCTTTAGGTCTTGTTAATATTACTTTTTAAATGATGCCTCTGGAACATACACTATGATTAAATACACACACCCCCATCTCCCCGGAGGGCACAACATACGCACATCGCTCTGCAGTTCGTAGGCTTTCTTAGCCTGGATCACGTCATTCTGATCCGGCAGGCATGTCCATTGGTGCAGGTAATTGCGATAATCGATGTCACTGACAAGGACTTGGCATTTCTTGGCTTGAACAATTGACATCATGTCTAAGGGTGTGTTATAAATCCCTTTAGACTTCTCATAGGCTTTTTTGTACTCTCTGTCACTCTGGATCTTGGCAGCATGTATAGACCATACCAACTTGGGGTCATCCTGCAGGCTGCGGAAACCCACATGGTGGCCCAGCTGTCTCCTATAGCCTTCTTTGTATTTGTACTAAAATTGTGGGAAAAGGAGAAAAAGACATATGAAAATAATATATCGAGATTTTTTTTTCTTGGTGTGATTTCAGGATCTTTTCTTAATCTTAATGCAAATTGGTCTGACCCTGCAATCATTATATGTTTGAGTTCACTTTAAAGAAATCAGGACTATTTTCGGTAGTTTCTTAGCGTAAGGAAACACTATAGAAAATTAGAATAATAATTTTTAAAAGGTAACTTTCTGAGCGATCACCTTGTGCCAGACATTATTACGAGAGCTTCAGATGTCTTAGGTTCATCCATACCAAACTGATGAGTTGCTTTTAGTCAAACATAGTTAAACAATGATAATTACAATCACAGTTAATTATCACAGTGCTGCTGTGAGGTAGGTGTTATTATTATCCTATAATTCAGAAGGAAAAGACACAGCAAGGATAATAAGGTTGCCCGGGAGGTGGAGCATTAGGTCAGATGGGCCCCAGAGTACTGAAGCAACCTCAGGTAGGGAAGAATATGGTTTTAGAGACAGACAAGAAATGTACACATTTCAGAGACACGACACAAGGTGATTGGCTTAAGTCAGAAGATGACAACAGGAGGTCTGTGGACAAGTGTTTCCACCTGGTATGCATCTACCCTGGCAGGAGATGATGCCCTTTTCTTTGCTGTGTTTGGACAATATGGAAATGTTCAGATTGAAGAGAGAGAGAGAGAGAAAGCTGGGACTGAGTTGCAGCTACCAGTCATTAGAGGCAAAACCAGGGACTAAGAAGGAGGAATCAGCTGTGTTCAGACAAGGCAAAGGGAAGAACCCAGAGAAGGATGAGGAGTTTGCTTGGAGCTGCAACTAGGGGAGGGCTGGGAAGGAGCTGTGTAGCAGTTTTCTGAGATTAAATATTCCATGGTGGAGGGAGACTTTTTAAGACAACAGGATGTTCTAATGGGGGATAAACAACAGGGTGTTCTAAAAGGAAGTAAACAACTGAACAGCTTCAGGAAGTCCCTATAACTGACCAGGTTCACTAGGCTCCTCCCTCCACAAGCATATATAAGCTTTCAAAGACTCTTGAGAGGCACCCTCAGACCAGACCAGCGACCTGCAAGAGGCTCTGACCAACTGAGTCTCCCTTGGGAGAGATTCTCCAATCTGTCCGGCTGCCTACAAGTTGTGCAGACTGCTCTAGGTTTCCTGCTTTTGGGAGCTATGGCCCATGCTGGAGTGGGCTTTGGTGACAGCTGTCTTTGAGTCACTTCTGCTCCTGTAAGTAACCCCTCACCCATACTCCTGTAAGTAACCCCAATAAAACTCACTGTTCCCAATTACTTTGGTCAATTGTTGGATCTCTATCTGGGGTGAGTAGACATTTGTTCACGTCTCCCCATGAATAGACACAAAACACATTTCACTATTACTGAACTTTAAAATTACTTAAAGTGAAGTAAACTTGAAACATTGCTGAAATATTATATATAAGTCTCCAGCATAAAATGTTTGAGATAAAATATAATTTCAGTCATAATTATTATACAGAAATCATCTTTTGTCATTTATACTATAATGTCAGAAATATTTTGGACATAAAATGACATTGTATTGCTTCTTGAATTTTCCCAAAAATTTTCATAAGAGTTCTTCAAGACAGGCAAGACCTTATTGCTGAAGACACAACATACTTCAGACACAGGAATTAGAGCAGTTGAGCTGGAGCTGACCTGGATGCCTCCTCCCTGAAGACTAGCTCTCATAGTATCAGAAGATACTATGCAAACTGCCAAGGGAGAAAACCATCAATGGTCCTATCCAGCTGTAGAGCCTATGAACCAATGGCCCGGCAAATTATCTCTACTGGTGAGTAGTGGTATTTTCATCTTGAGGGTAATCAAGAGCTGTCTAATTGAACTTAAAGCCCATTCACTGGGATAGAATTCATTAGTAGTATTGTAAATATAACCAAGGACTATAACTGGAGAAGTTATAGATCCTAGAGAAAAATCTACTTCTGTCACTTCCTCAGGCAAAAGTCATTTCTTACTGTATTCTAAGTACATATCCTTATATTTACAGAGAAGTGTACCTTTCACCACTCATCAGAGAAGCTTCTTTTTGCAACAGATGAAGACTATTACAAAGCACCACAACTGGTCAAATGCAGAGAATATGTGACTGTAGGGTGCCCAGCTCTAAATGATACCTCTATAATGCAACCTCTACATCTAAGGCTGAGGGAACACTGCAGAAGGGGTGGAAAGAATGTCAGATCCAGAGGGACAAGACACCTGTTGCTAGTTAATGCATTCTAGACATGATATGGAAGCTGCGCTAGTGGAAACTCCACAGTACGGTAGTCTAACAAGATTTGCAAAATGAAAAAAATGAGTTGACAGACCAAAGTGGATGGGGGAAATTTCATGGGATCCCACCTCAAGATGAAGAACTACAGGCAATCAATGGATGCTGAGGGAGGGAGACTCAGTTTTTTTCAGGGACTAGCTCCCTCATGGGTTATCTAATCTCAATTGGACAGCCCTAAACACAGGTACATAAGAGCACCAATTAATGGGCTCAATGCATCATATTTATGTGTATCTATAAATTTATGTATGTATATGTAACAATAATAATTAAAATAGAGGAAAAGAAATTGAGAGGGAGTTGGGGGACATGGGAAGAGTTGGAGGGGGACTGGGTGGGATGGAAATAATGCAAATACTATACTGGTATGAAACTCTCAAAAATAAAATAAAATTTAAAAATAGATTAAAAAAGAATTCTTCACAATATTTTGTTATAAACAATGAGATATTATTTATATATACCACATTTATTTTAACTGTTAGTCTATTTTTATCCCATTTCAATATTTTGAAGTAGAGAATATCTTGAGCACAAGACAAAAATGGAGTTGTTTACATGGACTGAAAAAACAGAATAGAGGGCTAGAGATATGGCTCTGCAGTTAAGAGCACTGGCTGCCCTTGCAGAGGACCTGGGTTCGATTCTCAGCACCCACATGGCATCTAACAACTGTTTGTAACTCCAGTTCCAGGGGATCTGACAACCTCTTCTGACTTTCTCGGGCATTCCATGACACAGGTGCACCTATAGACATGTAGGCAATGCGCTCATATACATAAAATAAAAATAGTAAATAAAATATTAAACAGAATCCTTGTAACCATCTCCTTATTTGTTTTATGGAGGAGAAAATTTCAGACGAGAACAGAAGGAAGTTACCTCACTGGCGATTTCTCTCGATGCTTTGGCATGCTTGATTTCAATGGCGTCTGCTCTTAAGTCATAGCCTTTCTGCTTGGTCTCATCCCAGTCTTTTTGGTAGAGTTTCTAGTGAGTCAAAACACAGGTTTATTTAAAGAAATGGAAATAGGAAAACATACTCATGGTAAGCATAATATGTCATAAACCATAATGTAAAGAAGGCAGTATAAGAAAAACATCCATTTCTGAGTTATTTTGCTATTGACTGTTTAACTTTGTAGCATAAGAGAACTCTGACAAAATTTAAAGCAAAGCATCTGGTACTATGGATGACTGAGTATTTACTTTCATCACAACTTGGTATGCATTTGAAAATACCCTACAACACAGTACATTGGAGATTAAGAACCAATGGCCAAGCCAGAGATGCTTCATTGAGGTCCAAAGAAGACCTACTAAGATTTTCCCTTATTTTGCCCATGATGAAGGACTGTGACATAAATATAATATATATCTTGTTCTTTGGATTAACTGAAATTTTCTTTTTGGATGTCACTTGACTTTGAAATGTCAAACAAGGTCTTTGATCAACCAGAAGACCTAAGGAGACAGTAGACGTTGTTGAGAGTGTAGGCACTTGACTAATCTTCCATAAGGAATTAAGCCATAGGCATTGGCTATGGGAAGATGGTTTCAAGGTTGAAGAGGAAACACCTATAGAACTCAGACACCCTAATTCTGGCAGTCTAGACATTCAACCATGTATTTATACTAACTTTTAAAAGACAAAATTTCCATTAATGAGAGATTAAAAAAAACCTGGCACCAAAAGCCATGGACATGACACAGATAGGTAACTGTCCATTATACCACTCTCTCAGCTCACAGATTAAGGCTTTTGCACTCTGTGTTTATTTCTCTTACATTGCTGATCTGCAAGGCATTGATCTGAGCCTGCAGCATGACTGGGGTCTCCAAAGGAATACTGATGTTGCTTTTATCTTTATTCCAGGCTTCCTGATACAGCCTCTGCGGACAGAAGGAAAACATAACTCAGCAGCAGAGAAAAGATATCTGAAACATTAAACCTTAGCAGCTCTTTTATCTAGAAGCAAATGTTTCTATATGTGTTTATAATGGTTAATTTGATGTTTCAATTTGAGTAGGCAGTGGTACTAAAATATCTGATCCAGTATTATTCAGTAGACTTTGAATAAAGCAAAGTACTTTCCATTGTGTGGATGGGCCTCGCCCAGTCAGTTGAAGGCTGTAATATACTCTTCAACATTGAACAGCTGTTCTTCCCTGTCTTGCAGATTTTGGAATTACCAGCCTGCGTAGCTGCATGAACCAATTTCTTAAGATTTCACCACCTCTCTTTCTACATACGCGTTTATAGAAAGAGCCTATTGAATCTGTTTCTCTAGGGAATCTTGATTCGTGCAATGTTGCACTCTTTATTATATAGTATTATGTTCCATGCCTTAGCATTAATACGAGTTAAATAAATACTTATTTCCCTCAATGACATGGCATTCTTTTGGTTTCGTGCTTCCAAGTCTGTTTGAGAGGAAGGCACATTCCCTCGGTTAGAGTTCTACCTTCAATGTGAGTTCAATAAGCTAATCAAGAGGCCCTCAGACTTGCTCCCCGCAGTGTGATTTTTTGAAGACAACAATCTGTCTCCTCAGTTTCAGCGCCATTATCTAACCATCCATCCAGAAACATGAAATCTTGGTAGTTAAACTGCTCTTACCTCACTCATTTGCAGAGAATTGGCTTTTGCTAGCACAACTTCTGGAGTGTCAACAATGGAGGTGAACTTCAAGGCTTCTGGTCGCGTCCTATACAGCCTTTCATTCACGAGGTCTTGAGCACCTTTCACTCTGGTCATTTCTACAGAGCCTTCTGGCATCCAGCCAATGCCTCGAAGCCATTCCAAGTCTGCTTTATACACGCTCTGCAAAGATGTTAGACCAAAGTATGCTAAATGTTAGCAAGCCCTCTGTTAGCTGAAAACCAAAGGTTCTGGTGGAGGGGCAGGGAGGGGAGGGGAAGCACAGAGGATGCTGGTTCTGCACAAAGAAGACATACCGTCTTATGGATTCAGGGTTTTTACTATTGATGACAAACATTATTTGTGAAAGCATAGTTATTCATACTATCCATGAATAGTAACATTATCAATTCCATGATATAATTATTTGATATTTTAAAAAATTATATAACTTAAAAGAATGTAAGGGGCAGGTGTGGTGGCACATACCTTTTTTAATACCAGTGCTTTGGAGGCAGAGGCAGTCAGGTCTCTGTGAGTTAGAGGCCAGCCTGGTCTACATAGCAAGTTCTAGACCAGCTGGGACTACAGGGAGACCCTATCTCAAAAAAGACCAAAAAAATTTTTTAAGGGAAATTTTATTGAATCTCATTCCATTTTAATCTTGTAATAAAAAACTCAATGAAATACTTTTCAGTGTTCTGGGACTAGTGTAATAGTGATAATTATTTTAAAACATTCAGATGCATTGTATTTGTTTGAATTGCCAGAAATTACAAATGACATGAAGAAATAGATGGAAAGTAAAAGACAGAACCCCAGTGGGGCGCCTCATCCCTGTTTTGCTTTCCATAACATAACTCCCACCTCTCCTCACAGCCCAGGCTGGGTTGTGTACACCCACAGGCCCTGACTGAGCAGCTAACAAATCCTTGTCTCCCCAATCCCTCTTTCCTCAAGTTCATGTTACATACATCACTCTGCAGGTCATAGGCTTTCTTTGCTTGGATAATGTCGTTTTGATCAGGCAGGCACGTCCAGTTATGCAGGTAGTTGCGATAATCGATATCGCTGACCAGGGTCTGACACTTCTTGGCCAGCACCAGCCCCAGCATGTCCACTGGGCTGCTGAACTTGGTCTTCCACTTCTGAAATTCCTTCTTGTACAACCTGTCACTGTGAATCTTGCCTGCATTCATGGCACACATAATCCTGGGATCATCTTCAACGCTTTGGGCTCCAATGTGGTGGCCTTTTTGTCTCTCATAGGCTTCTTTGTATTTATACTAGAGTGCCAGAAACCGAGGGTTAGAAACCAAGCTTTAGAAAGACACTCCATGCTATCAACTACTGATCACATGAAATGCACAAGAATTTCATACCTCAAACATTTGGCCATCTCTGAACAGATTTTATACTTTCTTAATAACTTTAATACTGTCTGAACAGCTTTATACTATCAAAAAATAACTCTAATCATATTTCCTCATTGGTGGGAACTTTCCTTGCATCAATTTTAATTATAATTCCAAAATGTATTCTCTGTGAAACAGGAGGAAGGTCTGGGGAAATGTGCATAGAAGCAATTGCAAAGTGGGGTGCATTGGCCAGACTTGGAGTTGCTCAGCACTGTGCAGAGCAAGGGCAACAGGGAAGGAACTCACATCACTGGCAATGTCCCTGGAGGCCTTGGCACTTTTGATGGAAATGGCATCTTCTCTCAGATCGTAGTCCTTCATCTTTGATTCGTCCCATCCCTTGGTATAAAGTTTCTAGGTAGAAGGCAAAACACAACAGAAAACCAAAATAATTTAGAAAGTCAACAGGCCTCTCCCAGAGAAGAAATTATTAAAGTGAAAAAGCATTTTAGTGACTTCTACAAAGGCTTAAATAACACCAGGGCATCTCCTTACCTGGCTGATATTGGCAGAATTGCTCTTGGCCAGCAGGATTTCTGGCGTGTCTGGCATCACGTGGATGGAGGCTTTGTCCGCATCCCAAGCTTCTGTGTATAAATGCTGTGGGAGAAGAAGAACTGAGCCTTCTACTGAAGCCAGTAACATCACAGTTATTGCCATATTTAACTCATATTTTACTGTAAATAAATATCGTAAGGTTATTTGGAGGTGAGGGAAGCAAAGAGGTAGTAGGAAGTAAAGCAGGGCAATATTTAAACAGCTATCACATGGTCTCAGTGTTGATCTAAGCCAGCACAGTGGTCTAATTATGAACTCATTTCACCAGTGAATCACAGTCTTAATCTTAGACCCTCCAGAGATGGAACTTGGTCACACAACTCTGATACAATACAAAGTCATCTTCAAACTGTATTCTTTGTAAGCTATGTGATCTTGAGAAAGGCACACAGCTCTTCACATTCCTGCCTAAAGAGAATTGTATATTTTTAATTAAATATTTAAGAGATTATAATATGTAAAATGCCTGAGCCACAGTAGGTCCTTAATATTTGTGTGTATGCGTGTGTGGTCTGGGTGTATGTTGTGCTTTATGTGTGTATATGTTTGTACGTGTATTTGTTTATATGTATATGTATGTGTTGTACGTGTGCATGTGTATGTTTTTGTATTTGTGTGTTTTTGAATTTGTGTGTTTGTGTGTGTGCTTTTGTGGTTGCATGTTTTTATATTTGTATGTATATGTATGTATGTGGTTTGTTTTATACCACAAACCTGGAGTTTGCTCTTGAGGCAATTCCCTGTTTGTTTTGAGCAGTCACTCTCATTACTAGAATGTCTGGAAGACATCCAGGTAGGGTCAGAAGAATTCAGTTAAGTTCAGTTTAGTATAAATGTGCATATTAAGGGACTACTCATTTGATAAAGAATAAACAGAACTGTGGAGAAAAGAAGTGATCATCTGTCTTGTGTCATACACTACAAGCAACAATAACAGTTCACTTTCAAAAGTGGATTTCCATAACTTAAACTGGCAAACCAGACAACTAAACCGAGTTGTGTACTGACACTTGCATGAGACACTGTGCTTTGTGGTTTATATTCCTTACAAGATGGACCAAGAATACCAGAGGTCTATGTCTGCTCTTCCCGGGGGAGTGTTCCATGCAGGGAAAGGTAATGCTGTCCATATCTCCAGGTCCTAGCTGACAAGGGTCTGTGTACTGCTCTAGGGAAATCATCCCAGGCTCCGCGTTCACATGCACACAGGGTTAGAGGGCACATTTGTAGAAGAGCACAGAGAGCTGGCTAGAATTCCAGAAGGTGCTCTGCAGAAGGCTTGTGGAGACTCAGACCCATACTCCCGCTCCTGTTCCATGGCCGTTTGTTACTTCACAGGCCAAGTCCAGTGGAGCCATGTCTCTGGTAGCAGGAAGTCATTGAGGACCCACCTTGCTCACAGTGATGGCATTATTTTTTGCCAGGACAATTTCAGGGGTGTCAGGAATGCATGTGAACTTGAGCTGGTCTGCAGGCTGGCGATACTTCCTGTCACTCAGGATTTCTCCCGCTCTCTTCACCTTCTCGACCTCTACAGAGCCAATGGGGACCCATCCAATGCCCCTCAGCCACTCCAAATCAGCCTTGTACACAGCCTGAAAACAAAAAACACATCAGCCATTCACAGACGTTACCTAGTCATCCCGGTACCTGACTGTGTTTGATTGAACACATACAAATAACTATTGGAATCTTATTTGCGTATAACTTTAGGAAGATCCATCAGACTATTTGTTTGAAATGGCCAATAATTGCTGCTCTTAAGATCCATAAAATAATTTTTTCAGAAAAGAAAAAGAACAATCCATAAAATCTCTTCAGTTTTGGAGGTAAAAAAACCACATTAAGGAAATCACTGCCCGCCTCCTGGAACAAGGCACTTATTTTCTGTTGTGATGCCCATACTGCTTCGTGTTGAAATAATACTCTTAGAAGACAGCAAGCTCCTGTCTGATCCATTCGTGGGCTTCACAGCTAGTCACATGATAGACACAAGCGTGAATACTCTCAACTGACCACATGTGAATTAATATGCTTTCTGGTGAAAAATAAAAACAACAGGTTTTTTTTTTTTTCATATGTTTGCGTGTGCTCCTAAATCAGACTGCATATAACTTTCTGTTTTACTTTATCCTAAGACCGTTTACTTAAATTTGTTGTCTGAATTAAAATAATTGTCTGTAAATAACTGGCTATTTTTCTTATAAGTAAAGTTAACTCTTTAGTTTTTATGGTTTTGGAAGAACTTTCCTATATTTTTACAATGCCATTACTTTTATAAGTTTTCCAAAAACTGTTTAGTAAGTGCCTGATCAGAACCAGACACTACTATACCAGTTTGAGCATTGAAGGACATCTACTGCTGATACCAGAACTACCTTGCATGTTTCTGGGCACTATCATTTTCCAGTTTCCTAGAAAGTTTCTCGAAATGTGCATGACTCATTCCTTAACTTTCACCCAAAAGTTTTATAATTGATAGCGCCTATAAGAAAAGGAGTCAATAAAAGGATGCAATCAATCCATTTGGAAAATTAGTTTGCTTTAAATTAGGAATTCTCAACCTGACATCAATGAACTTGGACAGAAAAATATAATAATCCTTGTTTTCATTATAGCAGTTGTGATTAAAAGTACAGGCAATGGATTATTGCACTCTAAACACTACATGTGACTTAGCAACAGACATTACAAACACTGTCATATGTTCTACAGATCTTACAGAGTTAGTCATTACACTATGGCTGCAATTATTTAACGTGTTAAGCAAGAAAGTGAGTGTACATATGTGTATATATATGCACACATATTACTATATCACAGATTTAGTTTAATATTTTCATAACTGTATTCAATTATTGGTTTCCCTTGAACTTATTTTATGCATTTCATAACACTGTGTTGAGAAGGGTTCACAGATTTTATTGGACTTCCCAAAGACTCATAGCGCTAAAAATGTAGGATCCCTAAACACACACACCCTACCTCTGCCACCAACTTTAAACTGTTTAAATATATGGTTAAGGAATATCAGAGCAACTCACATCACTCTGCAGGTCATAGGCCTTTCGAGCCTGAATGACATCATTCTGATCTGGCAGGCAGGTCCACTCGTGCAGAGGGTGCTTATAGTCTATGTCACTCACAAGGATCTGGCACTTCTTGGCCAGCACCACCCCCAGCATGTCCACTGGGCTGCTGAACTTGGTCTTCCACTTTTCAAAGTCCTTCTTGTACTCCCTGTCACTCTGGATCTTGGCCACGTGGATGGACCACATCATCTTGGGGTCATCCTTGATGTTCCGGGCCCCAATGTGGTGGCCCAGCTGTTTGCGGTAGCCTTCTTTGTATTTGTACTAAAGAAAGAAAAGGCGTGTAGGAATGGCTTTTATAAATGGATGTAATCTGGACTAAAGACTTTTAATCAACCCCAGTAAAACCATGTACTCTTGTGTCTTCTGACCTGGGCACTTGATCTCATTTCCTTGGCAAGCTCATTTTGTTTCTCCACCCCAAAAAGATAATGAATGAATGTGGGTATGCTTGAGAACTAACTAATATTAAAGTGCCGAAAGGCTGTGCACGCATCTCCACTGAACACAGTGGAGGTTGAGAAGGTTACATAAAGGAGATATTCTAGAACTAGGGATGAAAATGCCATATGGTCAGTTACAATTAGGTTGGAGCCAAACTTGTACTTCCCCAGTTGAAGCTGGAGAAAACATTTTGAATAAAATTATGCGTGGGGCCTGACTCAAGGACAGAGTTCCAGAGACAGGGTTCCAACAAGACAGTTCCATCAGGGCAGTTCCCGGAGACAGATGGTTAGATATCTGGGAGAACAAGTGGCCTCCAAGTTCAGACCCAATCTTAAAAACTAAATTTAAGAGTCAGGCTTTTTGTTTAGATAATTGAAATGTTGGTATAGTAATGCTACAGAGATATTGAGTCTGACAATAAGAACACACACTATTTATCTGTATTTTCCCCACTACTATTAAGATGAACATACATGAATATCATCTACCCAACTATAAAATAGGAACCTGGTGATCACAGGACAAGTACGTAGCAGGGCTGAGCCTAGACTGCAGAACTCCTTATTTCTAACTCTTCCATTTTCTCTAAACTACATTACCCAGTATACACTGGATTCCTTAATAAGACTGGTTTTCTTTTTTTTTTTCTCCTTTGATAAAATGATTAGACATTAAAAATATCTTAGAATATCTCCCTTGTAGTTATACCTTATAATGAATTCCTTGGTCAATGATATACATTACATTTAGGTAGTGTTCATGTGCCACCAGGAAGTATACTCCTTACTGAAGTTTCACCGAGAGAATTGTATCTTAGGGTTAAGAATCTACTTTTACAATTCAAGAATAATACATCATGGTCCAATTAACCCTGAGGGTTGCAGACTAAGTATATCCAGCTTAGCAGCTGAGTGACCATGCCTTGATAACTGAAGGAATGAAGGTCTTGGACTCTTTCAGGGGAAGTCTGGATTTACACCTTTGTTCTTTTGGTCTTCTTTTTTTTTGAGACAGGGTCTCCCTGTAGTCCCAGCTGACCTGGAACTCTCTATGTAGACCAGGCTGGCCTCGAACTCACAGAGATCCGCCTGCCTCTGCCTCCCAAGTGCTGGGATTAAAGGCGTGCGCTACCATGCCTGGCATATACCTTTTTTTTTTTTTTTTTTTTAAGAAGTGTCTCTGAGTAGACCAGGCTGGCCTCAAACCCACAAATATCCACCTGCCTCTGCCTCCTGAATACCGGGATTAAAGGCATGTGCCAGTATGCTTGGCCTTAGATTTATGTCTTAAGGAGGAAGCTGGGTGCATAGGACATGGGCACTCTCTGAAGATGTTTCTTGTGTGCAGAAAAGGAGAGAAGAGGCAAGTGAGTGCTGAGGGAAAAAAAGGAAAACACCTCAATCTCATTTGCTTCACACAGTTTGTTGACTGCTGTTAGGAACTTCTTACAAGAGATGCTCCTGAGAATTACAAAATATGAAAGACCTCTAAACCATGCCCACCATTAGCCACCTCCACTAGCCAACCTTCTTTTCATGTCACAAGAATATTTACCTGTGATATAAACCATTTTAATTTCACAAACATCTGGATTAACTACTGCTCAATTTCTGAAACAATATGAACTAGGGACACAGCTCAGTGGTAGAACCATCACCTAGTATGCACAAGTCCCTGCCTGGGTTCTATCCCAGCATCAGAAAACAAAAATAGAGAAAATCTGCAGGTTTTCTTTATTGTCTCTTTTTAAAGCTGTATTTGTTTCTAATTTTGACTTATTTATTTTTCTTTTATGTGGGTGTTTTGCTTGCACGTATGTAGGTGCACCCATGTTGTGCAATGCTTGCAGAGGTCAGAAGAGGGTGCTGGGTCTCTTGGATCTGGAGTTTTGGACAGCTGTTAGCCACCATGTGGGTGCTGGGAACTAAACTTAGGTCCTCTGCAAGAGCAGCCAGTACTCGTAACCACTGAGCCATCTCTCCAGCCTCATTAAGCTGTCTTTTTCAAAGCTCTTTCTGACTGGCTACCAGATGTTGGACACAATGTTTAGTGCCTTCTTTTCTTCCCTTCCTTTCTTTTTCATTTGTGACCCTGTATATGGGGAAGCTACTAATGGAGATTTGGAGAGACAACCAAAATTCTGGCAAGAAAAACTCTGAAAATTGCCACTTGACAACATCTTTGAGAGAAAATCTGCCTTTTAAAATATCAACTTACATCACTGGCAATATCTCTTGAAGCCTTGGCTGCTTGGATGGGAATGGCATCCAAGCGCAGGTCATAACCTTCCTTCCTGGACTCCTCCAGGGCCAGTTTGTAGAGTTTCTGTGGAAAGAGAGTTGTTATCACCACGCCCTTCAGAAGAAATGAAGCTGATTTTTGTTAGATTTTATCTCTCCTTATTTAAACCACTGAAACAAATCCCCAAAGTCAAATATTCTGGGAGGTTCATAAACCATGGACACTTGACCATGTGTTCAAAACAGGATTTTACTGACTTGCAAATTTCAAAAGTTTGGGAATATATCAATATTTGGTTGCCAAAATTTTTATTTTTCTAAACAATTATATGTAAAAAAAGCAACTATTTACTAGTGCAATCATAATGTAAAAATGGCCATCCTTAATGGGCAGGTCGGGGGAGGGTTATGGTCTCAATATGTACCAGGCTGGTCTTAAACTCACAGAGCTCTGCCTGCCTCTGCTTTCTGAGTGCTAGGATTAAAGGTGTGCACCATCACACATGGCAAAAATGACCATCTTAAATACTAAAGAAGGAAAAAGAATAAGGATAATGCTTTAAAATGGAATGCATTTGATTTTATGAAAAACCCAGCGCCTGTGGACTACCATGGTGGACCTTGATCAGCCTATGGACCTGAAATTTTGGTAACTGCCATTCTGAAAATATTCATTCTGATAGAAATGACTAGACAAATGCTTGCAAGTAGCAAAAAGTGATACCAATACCATATTGAAGGAGCAAAATAATAAAAAGCATAAGAACTTCCTGGAAACAGTTGTATCTCAGCACCCAAGAAGGGTTTGTTCCAAGAACTCTCACTTCACCCCAAGTCCTTAGATATGCAAGTCTCTTATATAAATGGGGGTAATGTAACCTATACACATCCTCCTACAGACATTTTCCTTTTGAGACAGGGACATGCTATGCAGCTCAGTCTCTGGCCTGGAACTTGCTACGTAGCCCAGACTAGACTCAAACTCATGATTCCCCTGCCTCAGTCTTCCTCCTGAGTGCTAGGATTCTAGGCCTACTCCACCTTGCATGTCCTAACTTTATGTATTTTAAATCATCTCCATATTGTTTATGATATTTAATACAATTTAAATCTACATAAATAGATATTATGCTATAAGATTCAGGGACAATAACAATAAAAAATCTCTACACACATTCAGTACTGTGCAGTATTTTAAGAAACTGTTTTCAAGTCAGGGTTAAACATGCAGGTGCAGAGCCTGCACTTGTGGAGGTTAACTATAGGAACACACTATCCACGGTGATTGGAAGGGAAGGCTTTTAGAGGGACATTACTGAAAAGTTTCCCTATAAGCATTCCACTTCCTGAGCGTTAACAGAAGGTTGGCCTTCTTTGTGGACTCACCACAAACCCACGATTAAAACAAGGATGAACTGTCTCTCCTACTGATAATGTCAGTTTTAGTATAGGTAATAAATTAGTCAAAACATTTCAGTGCTCTCTGGTCCACTCACATCGCTGTAGTTGATTCGGTTGAGTTTGGCCAGCATGATTTCAGGCGTGTCAGGCATGACATGGATGGTTTTCTTGTCATTGTCCCAGGCTTCGGTGTACAAGCGCTATTCAAAAAATGAGGAAGAGGAGTTCGGTGTTCACACTTTTGATTTTTGATTGTGTCAGTCATATCTCTTTTATATAAAGTAGAACCAAATTTATTAACATTAATTAAATTCCTACCTTTGTTCCCTATTAAAATTCTTTAAATAAATGCTTTTAACTATTAAAGAATTTAACAGTTTTGAAAAGCATAATTGAGTTGCAGTATTTATTTAGAAATCTAAGAATTATTGTAACACAACATTTTTTGTTTATTTTTTGAGATAGAGTTTCATATAGGCCAGGCCGGCTTAAACCCATTATATATGACTTCGAACTCCTGCCTCCACCTCCCAGGTACTGCAATTACAAGCATGCCCATCATGCCAGGCTTTATATGATGATAATATATCATGGTAATATATATATTAGGTTAGCCAGGAACTCATAGAGATCTGCCAGCCTCTCTGCCTCCTGGGATTGAAGGTGTGTGCTACCACACCCAGCCCATAGTATATATTTTAAAAATAATATTTTAAATTTATTCTTTGAGGTTTTATTTTATTTATTATTTTTATTTTATGTGTATGAGTGTATTGCCTGCATGTGTGTAAGTGCACCCATGTCATGCAATGCCCGAGGTTAGAAGAGGGCATCAGATCCCCTGGAACTGGAGTTACTGACAGCTGTTAGCCTCCATGTGGGTGCTGGGAATTGAACTCGGGTTCTCTGCAAGAGCCCAGTGCTCTTAACCACTGAGCTATCTCTCCAGCCAGTCTTTGAAAATTTTGTATATGTGTATACAATGTATCTTGATCATATCTATCCTCTAACTCCCACCCCCCAACTCCCCCTGAACCCCCTCCAAAACATCTCCTTCTCAACTTCAGGTCCCTTTTTTACTTTTTTCCATATCCACCTTTTAATTTATTATTTATTTATTTGTTTAATTTATATGTATGTGTATATGTCTGGGTATAAGAACGTGCATCATGTGTGTGCAGATGCCCACAGAGGCCAGGAAAGTGTGTCAGATCCCCTGGAACTGGAGTTAAAGGCAGTTGTGAACCACTCCCGTGTTGGTGCTGGGAACCAATTCCAGGTCCCCTACAAGAACAGCAAGTGCTCTTCACTGCTAAGTCATCTTTCCAGCCCCTTTCATAGCATTTTAAACAAGAGTTCAGTATCACTAAGTAATAAAGATATTTTAGTGGAGAAATCATTTCATATTAAGGGCGGTGATCCAGAAAGATAAAAACCACATGTTCTCTATCATATGGGAACTCTAGTTGTAATATGTGTGTATGTATGTATAGTAGCTTGTTGGGTAAAGGTACTTGCCACCACACCTGACAACTTGAGTTTGATCCCAGGGAGCCCCATATGGTGAAAGGAGAAAATCAACTTCCAGAAGTTGTCCTCTAAATCCCACATGTGTGCCATGGCACACATTCATGTCACACAAACCCACAGGATATAAATCATTCGATCAATAAATAATAAATAAAAAATATAATAGAAAGTATCAATGGTGTAAATGTGTGCAAAGCCTAAAAAAAGCTAGAAAAGAGACTAAGAAAGCATAAAAAGAAGTATGGAGGAAGTGAGAGGAGGCCAGAGGGACACATCACTTGAAAGCAGAAAAGAAACTGCGCAGAGGATTACACAGGGGATGCAAGGGGGTAGGGGAGGAGGGATGAGATGGAAGAGAGCCAGCAAAATACGGTTTGAAAATAACATAGTGATACCTAATACTTTGTATGCTCACTTTAAAAATTAAATTAAGGGGCTGGAGGGCTGGCTCAGTAGTAAGAGCACTGGCTGCTCATGCAGAGGACCCAGCTTTGGTTCTCAGCACCCACATGGCAGCTATAGCCATCTATAGCTCCAGTCCCAGGGGATCCGGCACCCTCTTCTGGCCTCTGTGGCCATTACACAACACTGGTGCATGACACACATTCAAGCAAGACACTTGTACAAGTAAAATAAGAACAAATAAATAAAATTTAAAAATTGAATTAAAAAGAAAATCTTATTAAAATAAGCCTTACAGTGATCTTTTGAGGTGTAGTAACATTCCAGAGTTTTTGCCTTGCCTATGGTAACTCCTGACATCAAATGGTGGAGTGAAAACTCACCTTATTCATGTTTATTGCATTGTTCTTCGCCAGCACCTGCTCCAGGGAGTCAGTTATACTGGTGAATTTCAATTTATCTGGACGCTGACGGTAGATATTATCGCTTAGTATCTCTGTGGCCCTCTTGGCCTTAACAACTTCCAAGGAACCAATTGGAACCCATCCAATGCCTTTCATCCATTCGAGGTCTGCCTTGTACAGATTCTGAAGACAGATAGGTAAGATCTATTAATTACTGCTTCAGATTCATTGTCACAAAACAAGTCATACCCAAGAAACAGAAATACCGATGGTAGGGGTGTGGGTGGAAATAGGCTCAGCATACAATATAGGCTTGTGAAGATAAGTTAAAAAAAGGAATGCTGCTGAACAGATAAAGTTCCCAGCACACTCTAACACTTGATTGGCACATAATGTTGAACCCTATGCAGATTTTTTTTCCTGATTTTTTTAAGGCTTTGTCCTGTCCTTGAAAGTTTTACAGGATCTTTCTCACAAGACCAGTGCTTCTTAAGCCTTGGCAAATGTGCCCCAATTACTCCAAATCAAACCACATATACAGACCAATGGCATAAAAGTACTACAATCACAAAAATCCTCATCTTAACTTCCATCTTTAAAAATCACAAAATATCAAGTAAGTAAAGGAAATGTACTGTTGTAAAGACACTAGGTATTTATTTAGTTTATTCCCAAGAGGACAAGTTAACTATTAGTATTAAATAATTGATTTTGAAAAGCAAAAATGTCTTAGCACTTTCCTGTAAGTATAAGATATGAGATATGTTTATTAAAAAACAATACACTTTTTTCCTACTCACCATTTACTCCCTGCCAACAAGGCTATGTTTATTAAAAAACAATACACTTTTTTCCTCCTCAATATTTTCTCCCTGCCAACAAGGCCACTTTTTTTCTCTCTCTCTCTCTCTCTCTCTCTCTCTCTCTCTCTCTCTCCATTTTTCTTCTTTGAACAAAAGTTGATAGTAATATAGTCTTTCCCGTTTTGCATATACCTTTAAGGAAGGATGCTTTATGGGAGATGCCTTTCAGATATTTGACTGTATACTTCTAGGAACATACAGACTCCAGACTCTTGAGACTAATTAGAATTTCACAGACATGCTTCTAATCTATTTTACCTTGCACCGATGATACTCACATCACTCTGGAGGTCATATGCTTTCCGAGCCTGAATGACATCATTCTGGTCAGGCAGGCAGATCCATTCATGCAGCCGGTGTCTGTAGTCCACATCACTGACCAAGGTCTGACATTTCTTGGCTAAAACGATACCAAGCATGTCCACTGGGCTGCTGTACCTTGTCTTGTATTTCTCAAATTCTTTCTTGTACTCTCGGTCACTCTGCACTTTGGCGACATGGAGGGACCACATCATCTTGGGGTCATCGTGTATTGCTCGGGCGCCAATGTGGTGACCCAATTGCTTCCGATAGGCTTCTTTGTATTTGTACTGAAAGAGAGAAAGCAGAGCGTGAGAGGAGGCAGAGAGGGTTGCTGCCTTCTGTGAGATGCTTTTCTGAGAAATCAGATAAAGAGGTTCTTCCAACAGGCTGCTGTGATGGCATGCTTTGAGGTAAGCTTCTTCCAAAGAAGGTGTTGTGCTCCATGGCACATCTCCACATAAGAACCCCACTCCCACTACTCCTTTAGAAGTCCCAAAGAATCAGACACTGGCAAAAGCAATCAAAATTGAACACCGAGTGGGGGAGTCCAATGACAGTCACAAGCCATGCCAGAGTCCCTGAAGTCTTCCCACCAGCAAGTCTGTCCAGAGTACACCTGGGGACATGCTTACAAGCCTGCTCACATGGCTCACAGACTTTTCCCTAGGAAGCTGAGAAATAGAACACAAACATTTCCTGGGCCACATATAGCCTGAAGGAGCAAACATATAATCCAGGAGGGGTAGTTTAAAAAGTTTTTTAAATTTATTTCTATTTTGTGTGTATGAGTGTTTTGCCTACATGTATGTAAGTGCACCAGTGTTGCGTAATGCCTATGGAGGCCAGAAGAGAATGTCAGATCCCTTGTAACTAGAGTTATAGACAGTTGCCAGCCAGTATGTGGGTGCTGGGACCCAAACCAGGTCTTCTGCAAGAGCATTCAGTGCTTTTAACAACTGAGTCATTTCTCCAGCCCTTAGGGGTGGTTTTTAAATGGGAAATTTCTGTTATTTAAAAGTATGGGACTTTGGTTTCATGAAAAAGCTGTAGAGATCTTTTGCCCAACAATGTGAAAATGCTGAATACTAATGAATTGTGAGCTAAAAAATGGCCACATGCTCCTAGCCTGCACTACTATCCTCAGGCCTCTTGGGGTAAGTATATAGCACAGCTCTCCATACCAGGACTCCCTAAGCCTCATTC